CACACACACACACTCCTGGTCTCCTTTGCATTTTCTACTTGCTTCACTTACAGGCACAAAAAATAAAATCTCTTACTGCAGTGGGTCCCTAGGAAGCCGTGAGCAAACCAACACGAATGGCATTAAGGTTTCGAAGGCCGGTGCTTATCTTTGCTGATTCTGATGGCACAGTTTACCTGGCCTGATTCTTGGACTGTCTGGTCACTGATCACTGACTCACACCAAGAAAGTCGCTGAGAAGGACGGCAAACGGGTTAAGAGACAGATGGCCAATTCCCAGAGTGGCAAGCCGGTACTGGCCAGGGCCAGCTGCAGCGGTTTGGAATCCACTCCCTCGGACTCGCCAGTGCTTGAACTGTCAAAGGAGGGAGGAATCCAGCGGCTCTCCCATTTGCAGTAGAAAAACTAAGACCCAGAGAGAAGGAGTTATTTGTCCAAGGTCGCGCAGGGTGGAAATCCCAGAACCCTAGACTCCAGATACCCAGGCCGGGGGAACTCGCCGTCCCAACCACGTCCACCCCATCGTCTTTTCAGTCCTCTCGTGCCCAGGCTCGTGGGCACCCGCACCCCTTCCGGGCCGTTTTGGGGGTAGACTCAGGCCACGAGGCAAACGAGGCCTGTTCACATTCCTGGGGACCCCTTTCGCGCACCTGCCGCTCTCCGGGCAGACAGCAGAGCCCCGCCTCCCCGGCCTCCTGTCCGCGTCACCAGCCCCCCCGGGCAGCCGGCAAGCCGAGCAACGACCCGGAACCGCACGTCCACCAGCACGCCGGAAGTGGCTGCGCCGGGGCCGCGCGCATGCGCGCCCGAGCTGCCTCCGTAACTAGAACCTGGCACCTCGGAGCGGAACCTCCCATTGAGCCGGAATGACTGAGGGCACCGGCGTCAGGCCGAGCTCCTTCCGACCAGGCCGCCACGTAAGCGGGCGGCCAGACCCGCGGATTACGACAGGGTGGCGGGATAGCCTTTCTTCTCCCCTTTTCTTATTTTTATGGGGCGGTGCGGGGCAGAGGGAAGTGGGCGGGAGCTTCCTGGCAAAAGGGCCCGAATTCGTGCCGCAGAGCCAGCATGTACTGCTGTGGATAGAGGCTGGGCATAGTTTAGCCTGCGCGCCAGCCAGACGCCATCAGGGAGCTTTCTGCTCCTCTTCTCTCTGCACCCTACCACTGTGTAGTGGATGATCTGAGGCGGCCCTTCCGTCCTCACAGAACCTTGCCCTGGCATCTTGGTCCGTGTACTAGTATTGTAACTTTTTAACCTTTTGTAGGCCAACTCAGTACACGGTACTTAATTGAAAGAAAACCCAATTCACAGCCATCAACTTATTTCCGACTCTACCCCCTTTTTAACTTTGGTGAAGCGGGACACCACTGATAAAACTCATCCTGGAGAAATAGCCACCTGGCAGCCAAAAACCGTATACCCTAGCTTGTGCATTCTTTACAAAAATCGGGACTTAAAAAAAAATTTTTTATTAGGGCTCATACAGTTCATCACAATACATACATCAATTGTGTAAAGCACACTTATACATTTGTTGCCCTCATTCTCAAAATTCGCTTTCCTTTTGGGTTCCTGGAATTAGCTCATTTTCCTTTTCCCCTCCTCCCTCCCTCATGAACCCTTAATAATTTATAAATTATCATTATATTTTACCTTACACTGCCTGGCGTCTCCCTTCACCCACCCTTCTGTTGCCCATCCCCCAGAGAGGAGGTTATATGTAGATCCTTGTGATCGATTCCCCATTTCTACCCCCCCTTCCCTCTCGGTATCGCCACTGTCACCGCTGATCCTGAGGGGTCATCTGTCCCAGATTCCCTGTGTTTCCAGTTCCCATCTGTACCGCTGTGCATCCGCTGGTCTAACCAGGTTTGCAAGGCAGAATTGGGGTCATGGTAGTTGGGGGGAGGAAGCGTTTAAGAACTAGAGGAAGGTTGTGGGTTTCATTATTGCTATACTGTACCCTAAGTGACTCATCTCCCCACTACCCCTCTGCAAGGTATGTCCAGTTGTCTACAGATGGGCCTTGGGTCCCCATCACACGCCACTCTCATTGACGAGGATATGATTTTTCTCCCCCCCCCCCCCTCACCTTTGGTGCTTGAAGCCTGGTCCCTTTGGCCCTTCATGATCACACATGTTGGTGTGCTGCTTCCATGTGGGCTTTGTTGCATCTGGGCTCGGGACTTTTTTAAAATGCCGCGGGACTCGGGAAAAATTGTTCAAAAGCGGGACGTCTGGTCACCTTACCCTTGTGGGTTTCCGGGACTGTGACTTTAGGAGTAGCCAGCCTTGGCTTTCTCCCATAAATGAAATAAAAGTTTTTAAAATTGTACTTTTAAAAAATAATTTGCACTCTGATGTATTCCATCTCATTTGAAAACACGCTAGTACACATTAGTTCCGCTACAAAATACTGGACTGCTGCCTTTTAACTGATGAAGTCAGCTCAGGGAAGTAAATTCCCGTGTTTAAAGTTGCACTGCCAATTAGTAGCTGATGTCAGGTCTCTGGACCATCTATCCAGCACTCCATGCGAAAAGGAGTTCCTGTTCTTGTCCCACAACCAACATCAACTAAGGCAAAGGTCAGCAGATTCCACCTACTCTGCTACAACACCCCCTGCAGCCCGTCCCTAGCTTCTAATTGACCACCAGGAACAAGAGAGAGGCGAGGGTACAAAAGAAATACACGTGAGCAGAAAGGCTAAATCTTTCCCACAACCCAACATAGTTCAAAGCACGACCCAATTGTTTTCAGCTTTGAATTTTTTTAAAATACCATGTATTTTCATTAATGGAAGGCATACTCAAATCAAGGAGCACGTGACATTTTCTTATGAATAAGGATCTTGATACACAATATGTGGGACATATAAGAGGCTTCAAAAATTTAGTGGAAAAAATGAAAAGGTGAGTTTTCCCCAACTTTTTGAAGTCCCCTTGTACAGGTCCCTTGGGACTAAGGGGTAGGATTAAATGGGTCACACTGGTCACTCTGAACCCTGAGGATGGGGGTGGAGTAAATACCGGGAGATAGATTTTTGGACACTGCACTGCCTCTAGCTCTCTTGGCAGGTACATGTAATACCCAGGGCACCTGAAAATGTGCTTTTCTTATGAATATGGAATCATTTGAGAAGGTAACTTCTAAACCCACAGGAGCCGTATTTCCCACTTAAAAAAAAAAGGCTGAGAAATCAAAACTGCAGAATCACACCTCCAGGATGCATTATTTCATAGGAGATTGTAAAAAACAATAATATGTGGCACAGGCCCCTTCCTTCCATTGCAAACAATTATATAGGTCCCCTCCTAATGGCTGCATGCAGTGTCAGTTGCGCAATAAACCCAGAGGAAGAAAATTCAAGTGGGCCTTACAAATCCTGCAGGTCATGCAAAGGTTAGTGATTGCCTGAAAAACTGGCCATAGCTTAACTAAATTCATGTGGAAAATTTCCAGAAACTTTAAGCAAATATGTTTATTTTATAATGATGATACACTTAATATATACGAGGATTCCAGATACAAAATTAATTTACAAGAATTCACATCTGATGAATGTAATCACATTCCTAGTGAACATGTATCAATGCAAAAATGTTTTAATACACTGACAACAAAAATCATTCTATAATCGTGTTATTCAATAAGTGTCAAAACAAATGTTAACTTTCAATCCACTAGTATTTAAGCGCCCTCAAAGTAGTGGGCACTGTACAACAGAAGAAACATTGAAAGACAAGGGCCTACTGTAGAATCACAGTGTTTACTCTGAAATTCATTTCGTGAAGTAGTGAAAGGCTTGCTATCCTTTATGACATATCACATATCATATAACAATTAAATCTGATGAACTCAAGAAAATAAAGTATTTCAATAACTTCTCAATTTCTAAAATCTATACAGTATTAGCCAGAACAGACAAAGCAGTAGAAGGCTGCTGAAGGAACAAAAGAGCATTGTTGGAGAGTACGTACGGCTTAAGCAATTTAGAAGCACGAAAGACAAGACTTTTACCATACCACAAATGTACCAGTCAAATGATATTGACAATATAATTCTCCCCATTAGTCACTGGTAGTAAACAGCCCCTTCAAAATTTTTCTACTGGTCACACACATAAAAGCTAGTGAGTCCAAAGGCTTTGCTGTCTAACAGAACTGACTTAATGGATTTTGTTCTAAAGAATAAACTCATGACCACTCAAATTTTAATACACAAGAGCAACAAGACAATGTCTCAAGGATTACAGTGACTTGTGAAAAGCTAAATACGCAACCAGATAACATCATTATTTGAGAGATCAGTAGCACTTGGATAAGAATCGTTAATGTGAAAATTACTGTGCTTCAATGTCTGAAGGAGAGCTAATATAACTCTATAATCCCTATAGTGTTACAATTTAACATTTCAGTTACAGACAAGCACAATATTCTTTAAAAGTATTTCACACCACTAGAAAAGCCGTTATAACCTCCAAATATTATTTCTGCTATTATTTATTTAAGTGCATTTTTGTCTACGATCCATAATGTAGAAAGTAGGTTCACCATTATCATCAGGGGGAAAAAATGATAAATTTATTTTAACTCCTATTCACTAGTCTTAATCTTTAGTCATGATTTTAATAAAGAAGACAATCTTAAAATAGAAATTGCTCAGAGAAAATAATGAGGCCTGAAATTACAATAATTGTTAGAGCAAAGTACAACATGATTTTATAACTGCATCATCTTATATTCAGTGATTAATGAAGCAACTATTTATACTGGTGCTATACCATAATGACACTAACCTAGTTTGATGAATTCCTTGTAAATTCTATTATGAAAATGTTAGGACATTGCATCTGCCTTTCTTATTCTCTAAGACCTTTCTACCTCAACTAGAAGAATACTCCAAAACATAGGAGTCTAGGATTATTGAATGGCAGGGTTCATTTAAAACAAAACAAAACAAAAAAGTCATTTGGAGAACTAGGCATCTGGTGTCTGTAGCAAAAGGGATTCATCCACATAATTGATACAATATGAAAATCAAGTACTAAGGTATCTTATGGAACCATCAGAAGTTCTTTTTAATAATATTGTAAAGAAACAATAAAAACAAAAAAAATTCTTCAGGAAATAGTAAAAAAATTCCTATTGCCCTAAAACATTTAAAGCAATTATTTCCTGCAGAGCTTTAATGCATCACAATACACACTTCTGAACAGAAAAAAAGCATGCAAATGAAGTGGGTAAAATTTAGTTTCTGAAAATACAGTACTTCTCTATGGTTTGGAATTATTTACTTTGGAATTATTATACATGATCTTTTCATATTTTACAATGGTTGATCATAATTTGAAGATAGAGAAAATTTATGGTTCATATTTTAATGTTTGCAAATCTCAGTTTTCACTCATGAACAAGTGGACATTCATAATAGCTTCAAAAAAGAAAATAGTATTAGTGATAAAATAACAATCATAATATAGTTTACTGCAGATCTGTAGGACGGTTGGCCTAATTCTGTATTTCAGTCTGAATTTACATGATCACTGTCTATTAACTTTTATAAGCATATCAGAAAATTTAAAAAAAATCTAAACCCTGACCTCACCAATGTCTCAATAAACAA